CTTCACCAGATTTATAAAAATGCAGAAAATTCTCGGTCCATATCTACACTTATCTTTACAGACTTTTCAAAAGCTTTTGATCGTATAGACCATAATATACTTGCCAATAAGTTAATCCACCTTCATGTTCGGCCTTGTATTATTTCATGGATCTTAGATTTTATTGAACACCGTCAACAACGTGTGAAATATCTTGGTCATTTTTCAGACTGGTCAACGTCTCATGCCGGTGTAGCACAGGGTACAAAATTAGGACCAATTATTTTCCTAATAATGATAAATGATGCTTGTTTTAACTCAGAAGTACCATACTTCAAGTATGTAGACGATCTGACATTAGTTGAAAGTCGTACATTATCACAACCATCTAAATTACCAAATACTTTATCTGATTTTATCAATGGTCTCTTCGTAATAACATGACTCTTAATCCATCGAAATGTCATTGTATGTTTATCTCTTTTTCTAAGAATATAGCTGATCAGAGACCTTTGTTTATTGGGGATGAGTGCTTAAACAGTGTACAAAAAGCAAAAATTTTAGGAATAACTGTGCAGTCCGATTTGAAATGGGACAGTCATATCTCAGACCTTTTATGCCGTGCTAATAAAAAACTTTTCATGCTTCGTATTCTCAAAACATACAGATTGCCTTTCTGGGATCTAGTAACAATTTACAAGGGATATATTCGCCCAATATTGGATTATGGAGTACCTGTTTTTAACGGAAACCTCACCCAAAGTCATATCTTAAGTTTGGAACGAATCCAGAAAAGAGCATGTAGGACCATACTAGGTGATCAATATATTAATTATGACAAAGCTCTTGAAGTGTGTTCTTTGCAGACCCTGTCAGATAGACGCAAGCAATTATGCACTAATTTTGCTTCATCTCTTGTCAACAACCCACTTTGTAAACATTGGTTACCTGTTAACAATAATGTAGATTATTCACTGCGAAGAAGGACCAAGTATCGTCAATTTCATTGTAAAACGAACCGCTATAGAAATAGCTCAATTCCATACCTAATAGACCTGTTGAATGCATGAATGAATCTTAATTGTCTACCTGTTGAATGGTCCGGTGTCTCATTGTCTGCATACATTTTTACATTTTTACATTTTTACATTTTACATTCCGCATTTTAAATTTTAAATTCTATGCTTCCATAATTACTTGTAACATCTTTTTAAAATGTACATTGAATAGTGATAAGGTTTTGTAGCAATCATGACATGGCAATTCAGATCAAATGGTGTTCAAGTTTTTAATTCATTTGCTTATTTCTCCCCAATTTACGAAAGTCGGGAAGGAACTTACTTGTTTTGTTGTTTATTTTTTTTAAATACCCGACGCTCCTTGACACGAGAGGTCCAGGGATGAGCGAGCAGACCGTTAGCTAGTGTATATGGGAGTGTGAATGGGAGTGTGTATAAGAGTGTGAATGTGAGTTTTTATGAGAGTGTCCAGGGTGCGGGAGTGAGGATGGGAGCGTGTGTGGGAATGAGAGCGTGTATTGAAGGGCAAAGGGCCTGCTTGCTCATCCTTTGACCCACTCTTGTGTCACCTCACAAAATATATTTTAAACGTGAATTAATTTGCCTGTTATTGCCTTGGTCGTATTAGTTATGAACTTTGTTATGAATTTTGTTATATACTGTATATTATACTTTGTGACAATGTCAACCACATTTGTATGTATTATAATTCATTGCCAATGTAAATTGTTCATAATTCAGCCATCTGGCTGCGAAGTGCAATCAATAAAACCTTTTCAATCTCAATCTCAATATCTAGTTAAAGCGGACGGTTTTCTCAGATATACAAGAGTAATTACTCTCCAGCATCCCAATAGTTGAATAACTAAATAATTAATAACTATCCTTTTTTACCTTTAGATTATTTAAAATCCATATTGACCTACGTAAACTCATAAAAAAACCACAAACTTGCAACGAACTTCTGTTGATATAGTTGTAAACACGGTATAAATAATCATCTCCGCATTTCTAAGATAATGAATTCGAGACGGTTAGCGGCAGCCGTGCGATTTGTACTTTTTACACGTGAAACGCTACCGTTTGTTATCCCATCTATTTTGTAGATGCAGATGAAAAGGTATGATTCAGATACAGGCAAATTTTCACATGTGAAATGCTCCGGCTAGCCAGCCCCGGGGTATTTATTCGGACGAATATCCCACGGATTCAGAGCATCATTCTCGAGCACCTCTCCCAACTTCAAAAATGCAAATCGCAAGGATGCTGGACCTCGCTATTTCAACACTCACCCACTGTTTCAATGTCGAGTTCAATTACATGACAAATAGTCTCAAAACTTTGTCTCCATCTCCGTAAATGGAAAACGAGGGCCCCTCGCAAGAGGCAGCTTCCCTTGAAACAATATGATGAGATGTAGCCGTAAAAAGCGACTTGTTTTTCAATAAGCGAGAAGCATAATGATATGTACAAGTTAAGACGAGCCGGTGGTAATATTTTCTGACTTCATAAGATCTGGTTGTTCCTGATTATATTACTTAACTGAGTGTCCAACACAAAATATGACATGCCTAGAAAGATATCTATTTTCGTCTTTAGGGTCTCAAGAAAAGGTGAAGGACGTAGCCTACTACTTCGCATCTAAAACCGCTCAACAAAGTTTTGAATCTCAAGTTTGATTGTTTATATCTCTCTTGTTATGGCACAATTATCACTACATTTAAAATCATTAGAAAGTCTGTTTGTTCCTGTTTAAAATGACACCCCATTTTAACATGATTTTTCAGTCATCAAAATAAGGGGCAAGGCCAAAAGTAAAAAGTTGCATAATGCACTGCTCTTATTCGGCTGTGCATTCTTCTTTATTTAAAGTGTGCAGGCATGGTAGGGCTATTATTTAGTGCACTGCTTACCAGTGCACTGTGCATTTCTAACCTTGTGCCTTATTCTGATGTACTGCTTATTCCATGGTTTCTCCACACGAAGGGGAAAAAAAGAAGAAAAAAAGATAAAATAATTAACCGTTGACCGCAGTCGATACCAGATGGCACAATTTAATTTACAATTCTGAATTACAAAACCAAAATCACAAGAAATTTAATTTGTGGATTTGTGGTGAAAAAATTCTGTCATTTAATTTAAAAGACAGGTGGTATGAATGATTTTGGTTTGACCATTAAGAAATGGAAATTAAATCGGGCTATTCGGTAATGACGATTATTCGATTGCATAAATTGTGTGTACATATGTTGTTATAAATAACTGTTATTTCATTATTTGGACAAGAAAGTCACTCGAAGAGGAAAAAAAGGTAGAGAGAGAGAGAGAGAGAGAGAGATGTATTAGATAAACAGATTAGGATCAGTCGCATTAAATGTACAGAATCATTTTGCTTGATTACTCAATGGGCCTATAGCTAATCTTAGAATCGCATAAAGATCTACATTTCATTTGATGTGTATCCTAACTTATTGGCAAAATTTCAAGAGGCACAATCTGGTCATGACCCTGTTTAAAGCCTTCGAATGTTGAGAAAAAGTTGTGCTTCCTAATTGTATATTGTAGTCTAACAAATGTTAAAAATTCAAACAGAAAAACAGATAGAGTGAGAAAGAGAGAGAGAGAGAGAGAGAGGGAGAGGGAGAGAGAAACATATTAAAATTGTATATATTGTAGTTAAACAGGGGGGGGGGGTTCAGTACACTTTGTCTGCTTCATAGACCTCACCCCTTTTTCCAAAACCTACACCCTCCCCTAGCTACATTTCAAATTCCATTTCAAATTAATTCCAATAATTACATCTAATAATGTAACGTTTTGTATCTCTAATGTATCATCGGACGTGTGATTATCTTCTCTCTTTTTTAAACACAAGTTCTGTTCACTGAAATCTTTAAGTGATTTCGTGTCACGGTTTAAGGTGAAAAAAACCCCACACAGTCCTCTTTTAACTTATCCAAATATTATAATATCTCCTTCATTGCATTAAATAGCATTTCATATCCAATGTGTTGATTTCAATGCGTGATTATGTAGTATACCTCGTCCAGCATGTCCAGATGAATGGGAAAGCTGCTTGTAGCTCCGGACGTAAATTATGATTTATTATCAATATCAAGACGTGAAAACAGGCCGTGCATAAATGCCACAAAATCTACACGAGGTCCCCGTTCTTTAAATTCTATATTCTTAATATCCTCCCAACTACGCAAGGCCATAGCTAATGGCTGTTTTACCGCGATTATTGTTTCTAAAGGCAATGGCGTAGAGTGGCCCAGCCAATAAGGAAGAATGAACTTTATGGGGGGGGGGGGGACCTCGAACATATAATACGAATCAAAATGGCCACCGATTAAGGGAAAGAAAGGAGTGATAATACATATCCTTTTCTTATCAATTCTTTGCCCTCTTTTTTTCTCGACATTCGCCAGGGGGCATATGTCTCCATACCTCCCCCCCCCCCCGCCAGCCGGAGCTACGACATGGTCTGAAGGAACCACCACTATTAGCACCATAGGCATTATGCACATATATAGTCATCTTATGCAAATTCTACTACCATAATTATTACAATAATTGTCATATATTATACTCCTATTGCACTGTCTAATGTAGTGGAGTGTACTCGAGAAGAAAAAACACACTGACATCACATCACGTTGATTGATGCCACAAATTTGAGCGCTTGCAAGGGTACCCCTATCGGTAAACACCAAATTGTAACTATTCAACTATCAAAATTAAGTAATCAATTGAAGTTGTCATGAAGTTAGATTAGGTGCATCAATTTACGCCTATCATCGAATTACTATTAATTATCTTATGTACCACAATCACTACTATTAATTCCAAGAGCAGCAGCATCCTTTCCACTATCATTAACTTGTTTAGGCTATATTTCTTGCATCTATTTCATCAGTGTTACTTCAATGCCCGTATCGCAACCACTTTTTTTTTAGATACGCTCTTATCACTACCTGTTTGAAGATTACCGCGATCATTATGACTCCCATCAAAGTACCATCGCCGTTGCCACCACAACGTCTACCACCAACACCATCTTCATTTTCATCAGCATCATCATTATCATCATCGTGCATCACCATCGCTACCACGACCATCGCTACCACGACCATCGCGGTGGTCATAGGGACTACCACCCTCATCATCATCAGCACCACTACCACTATCACCACTACTACCACCACCGCCACGACTACCGTCACTAACATCACAACCACCACTACCAACATAAACACCATCACTATCATCATCATTATCACCGCCATCATCACTACCACCGACACTGCCATCAACACCACCGCCACAACAAACACCAAAACAACCACCACACTCATCATTTCATAACGCAGGTTCAGTTTAACCGTAACCTTTCATGCACCTCTTCGTCCTCCGACTCATGAGTCCCCATAGTCCACCACGTCAGCCTCTTAATCACTTAATCGCATTATAATTCGAACAACCCATTTTCACTGATTACCCACTAACTTCTCCTCCTAAATAAACTCTCCGTATCACAATCAAAATTAGGATAAAATACCACTCAATTTAATGAGATACAAAATCTAGACTTTACGTCTTTGCATCGTACCCCCATTGTGGCTTTGCGTGTGCATGGAGGCAGTATTTGTATAATCTATTTATTCACTCCCGGAGGAATATGACATTTTTTGTTCTGATTTGAAAACAAAACCTCTGTTATTAATGGAGCAATTATCTATAAATATTTGACAATCGATGACGTAAACTCTAACCAGAATGCATCATTCAATCGTCATGTTAATATCTTTGATAATGGAATATTTTCTGTGCGAAAGGTTGAACAAAGAATGTCATGTTATTGACACTAACAACAACAAAGATTGCCTCTCCAGAAAAAAAACAAAAAACATATGACGTTGACATTAATTCGGCGACGTTTACTGTTTGATGAATTTCTTCAAAGATGTAGTATTAGGACGACAGTTGCCATTTGATTTTAGGCTAAGTTAAGTTTTAGCGTTTGGTACAGTGTAGGGTCCAGGGTTGAAGTTAGGAGCTTATTTAGTGTTAGGAATTGACCACATGCAGAATAAGTGTCGTCATAACATGTTACGTACGATGTAGAGGTGCTGTCATTGTGATGAAACCAATAAATCGGGTTACTAACATATTCAAATTTGATGCAAAGGTTATTCTTGAAAACATGTAAGCTTGCCCGAGGATCTCCCGACATAACAACAAGTAATGTATGCAGACAGGATTCCAAGTATTGTAGTTCATTCATTAATAATAGTTTAGTGGAATAACTCGTGACTATGTCCACACGAAAGAGACATCTATACATTTGAAGATGTTTAATAGTTAGGAGCCAGAGCATATCACACTGAGTTCCCATAGGACATATATTTGACAGATGGTCATATCTCAGCCAATACTTAACATATTCTATTGGTTTTCGACATTTGGACAATCTTTTTTAAGCTCTTTCGGAAAATGAAGAAAAAATTGAGAAATTCTAAAAACTAGATTTTTGATGACGTCACACTTCACCACTCTATTGCACAGATTTGTCTCTAATCGCCTTCCCTAAAGAGAATGAACCAGTTTATGTGGTTACTACACTCACGGTTGACCAAGTACGTTTCACACAGATCAAATGGACCAAATGAAATGGAAAACTCAACATTTTCCCAATAAGCAAAACAAAAAACGGTGACATCTTTCTACGATTTAACGGGGTCTGCTGTGATCACTAGATGGCCGGTTTATAATCACGTGATACTTTAAACATTGTGCATGGCTTGAATAGAATATATTAGAGAGAAAATGATTTGTGTGTTCATTTAAGTGTAAGTAAGACATAATGCACGAGATCAATATGAACATCGATAGCATAATTATTACTCATTTAAGTGGAATTACACGAGCGCCCATGTATCTAATCATTCAAAATAGAATTGTCCACGCGTTCCCCCATGATCGAAAATTAGTTCGTTTAGCCGGAAAGAGGACTGCACTTTTTTCTTTCTGAAATGCGAGGGAACCTCTGTTTTTAACCCTGTGGGAATTAACGAACATGATCACCCTATTTTCAGCAATGATCCGTCATTTATGTTCTCATGCCGACCAAAATCTCCCGCCATTTATAATGTTCATTGAACTCTACGCACACACGCTAAAGGCCAGGTAGTTTTATTGGCATGAACGATCAAGATTCCAAACTCGTTTAGTCAGTGAAGAGGAAAAACGATATAATGATATTGGTAAAGCAAAAACTGGGTTAGCCTATTAATCACACTTTTATGATCTTGGATGCGCTTGTAAAACTTCATGAACATGTTGCTATATATATATATAAGTCCAAGAATCAAAAGATTTTGAGTTAAAAAATAACGTCATGAAGATAAAAGAATAATCATATCCCTCTCATAAAAAAGCATTCACTTCTGATTAGCAAATTATAAGATTCGGCTTTCTTAGGGTAGGCCTACAATAGAATTATGCACACTAGCATTAGGGTGATGATCCTGTTGAAGTTTGATAGGGGCGGGGGAAAACGCACTATCATGAATAGTAGTAATTTAAAAGAAAAATCACTGTACACAATGTAGAGAATACATCAAAATGTTCCGATAACGATGGAGGGGAAAGGGGGGGGGGGGGCTAAAGTCTACGACCTTTTGAACGCCATTTGAACAAAAAATCTCGGTCGTATGAAAAACATCAAGAATGAGCGCAGACGACATCAGATGATCGTGTACTTGGTGATCGATTGGATACAAAGTGATGACGATACATCAATCAGGCGCGCTTGTATTGGCTGCATTACGACGCGTGCTAATACGATAATTGTCATCCGTCTATCATGATGAGAGGCGTTTATCAATAATAGGGACGCCGTCATTATACGTCATCATCTTCCTGGCGAATAGTACAGTTTCGTGGTCTAAATTTTTGGATTGGGGACGTTTCATGAGGCATCGACCTCACTTCTAAAAGAACTTACTAGTCTACAGCATAGGCACACACATCGTTGCGATGGGGGAAGGGGGGGGGGGGGGTGGCCCCCTAGAAAATGTGTAAATTACCAATGTCCTGGCTAGCAAAGACAGCACCATGTGTGGGTATTGAGCTGGTATCATTTGTATATCTTGTGTATTATACTATAATGACACAATTATATTACCACTGTAACAAGGAGTCATTATTAGAAATCCAGTCGGTTACGATACGTCACCCACCCCTCCCCTGTTAATTAAGCCCCCCCCCCTCACACCCATCAATACATAATCGTATGTGCCCTGTGAATGAAAGTGTTCCGAGATTCTTTCATTGCCATCAGAACCAAATTTATGTAACCCGCACTTTGTATTACAGCCCCCAGGAAATATAAAAATAGCAATATTATATATATCGCTCTCGTATACTTAACAATGAATTAATCACTGATCTAAAAGCCTTCGGACATTTCGCCTCAATGCGTTGTTTCCCTTGACCACATGCACTTACGTGTACTTCAGTATTGTCAAACTACTTCACAAGTCAAGTCCATTCTTCAACAATTCTTCCACAGAGTATACATATTTTTGTCAAGCAAATCAAATAATTTCAAAAGCTCATTCAGTTTTCACCAGCCTCGGGCCAGTATCCGCCGATAAGTGAAACATAATTTAAATAAAATAAGCCTTCAGGAATAAAGCTAAACCCTACTACTTCTAGCTGAGAGTACGTGTTTGTTTTAGCCGTGTAATCTTGGGATTAGATGCTAAAATAAGGAAGGTGGGTGTTTGTGCGTGTACGTGACACTCGTTTTCGAAAATACTATCTTGACATTAATATTTGATGTGGGAAGAACGACAGAGCGGGAGTGCGATAGTACAACAATCCAAGTTATGTCACACTTTGCTATTGAATAAATTATGTTAAAATTCATATTTTATAAGATATTCTCGTCAGAGGAAGCATTTTATCACCTACGGAGATACAGAAATATTAAGAGAGCCATGATGAAAATAACTCGATATCATCTACTTTCTTTCCAAAATAGATTTTCGTTTATGAACCTATATAACTATGAATGGATATGGTTAGGATTACCAAACTGAACAGATTGTATATACAAACCTACTCCACTCCACTTTCTCGAATTTGAAATAAAGATAGCTATAAATGTTTCCTCTAAAATCAGGAAAAATGAATCCTTGAGCAATAAACACGTATATGATTACCTATACTTATTTTTAATGGGGATGAATTAAGATTTTTTTACGGTCAAGTACGAACATGTGTTTTTAATGGATATTTCCAAATGAAAATATCAGTTTATAACATTAATATAGATCTTGAACCTGTTTCCGCTTTGAGAGACCTATCATTGTAAACATCATTCTTCTTGAGGAATACAATTCTAACATTCGAATCAATTAATAAACAAAAACAGCAATTTTTTAGTATAGAACCTGAAGCACATGCGATATACGCACATGATACTAGACTAAGTTTTAAATTATACAATGATGTTACTATTGTGACGCTACAGGTACCTCATCTTATTGAAGAAACCAATTATACCAAGTATCCTCCTTGCATCTCCGTCAGATTCCCACTACCACCGAGTAATCATCTAAATTAGAAATGAAATACAAGGACCGATCGATGAATGTTCGATGAGGGGGGTGGGAGCAAACATTTCCCTTTTTCCCCTCGCGAATCACGAGTTTGGAAATTATCCGAAAAAAAGAGGTTTTCAAAAGGGGATCTCATGTATTTTTAATACCACTTTTACCCCTGATCTTTGCAGAAGTTGGCAACCACATGAACCAAAGAATCGCTAAGGTCTCCCATATCCCTTCTGACGATCCCCAAAGTAGGCGGGTGTCTGTGTCAAGAGGGACGCCCCCACCCCTAGATCCACTTTCGCTTATGGATTGATTGGGACGCCCCCACCCCAGATCCGCTTACGGATTGATTGGGAACATGGAATGCTTCCTCTGGATGGCGCCACCACGTGTTGAACACGTCACAGGTCAAGAATCGCCCGTGCCAGACGAGGGAGGGACGTACCCCTAATGTTCTCCCTCAGGCCCCCGTGATTGGATCACACCCCATTCCATCAGGGTAATTTCCCCTGACCTTACGTC